GATGACAAAAGACAAACTGACTTTGAGTGAGTTTTATTATTTAAATTCTCTTCAAACAGTACACCCCCTTCTTGCCTACTCCTGGTGGACCAAACTCACTAACTACCCTCCTTGCTATGCCCACCAGTCCTTAGTGTTTATTTCCTAAACCAAGAATGAAAAGCAATGACATCTTCATGTCCTTTTATGAGACTGAGATTACAATTCATTTATAATTATCGGTGATTTTATTGTATATCTTCACATGGAAGGAACAGTAGTCTCAGGCCATCGATTTGGGCACTTTGTGAAGCAAAGCACCGGAAATACGTCTACAGGGGTAGCTTATGGGGAGGGGTTAAAATAAAGAGCACAAAGTAGAGGTGGGGCAAGAGGGGAACATGAAGTCACTTCTTAAGGAATAACTGCGCATAGTTTTAAAATTTATTTTTTAAAATTTGGTAGATGCAAATTGTATACCAAAGGGTCTTCAAAAAATTCATGGAAAGATTCTTAATATCTTTTAATCCTAGTTTTCCATAAACTTTTTTGAGTACCCTTGTATTTACGGTGTACAACACAAAAAAATGTTTTGAAATACGTTTCTATTATGGAGTGGCCAAATCAAGGTCATGAATATATGAATTACCCCATATACTATCATTTATTTGGGGTGAGAACACTTAAAATCTACTCTCTTAGCAATTTTCAGGAATAAAATACATTGTTATGAACCACAGTCACCATGTTGTACAGTAGATCTCTTGAACTTATTCCTCCTGCCGAACTGAAACTTTGTACCTTTTGACCAGCATCTCTCCATGCCCCCTCCCCCTCAGTCGCTGGTAGTGCCTTTCTGCTCTCTGCTTCTATGAGTTTGACTTTTTTTAGATTCCTCATATAAATGAGATGATGTGGTATTTGTCTTTCTGTGCCTGGCTTATTTAAATTAACATAATGTTCTCCAGTTTCATTCATGTTGTTGGAAATGGTAGGATTTCCTTCATTTTCTAAGGTTGTTTAGTATCCCAGGGTGTATATATACCACAATTTCTTTATCCATTCATCAACTGACAGACACTTAAGTTTATCTCGTATCTTGGTATCGTAAATAGTGCTGCAGTAAACGTGGGAGTGCAGATTTCTCTTCGACATACTGATTTCATTTCCTTTGAATATGTATCTAGTAGTGGGATTGCTGGATCACAAGGTAGTTCTATTTTTATTTATTTATTTATTTTTTCCTTTTTGTCTTTTTTCGTGACCGGCAACGGGATCGCAACCCTCGGTGTCGCGCCCGCACCGCGCTCAACCAGTGAGCGGACCGGTCTCTATATGGGATCCGAACCCTCAGCGGGAGCGCCACCGCGCTCCCAAGCTCCGCACTCTACCGAGTGCGCCACTGGGCCGACCCTATTTTTAATTTTTTGAGGGACCTCCATAGTGTTTTCCATACTGGCTGTACTAATTTACCTTCCTACCTACAGTGTTCTAGGGTTCCCATTTTTCTCCATCCTGCCAACACTTTGGTCTTTTTGATAATAGCCATTGCAACAGGTTTGAGGTGCTATCTCATGGTTTTAATTTGCATTTCCCTGATGACTAGTGATGTTAAGCATTTTTTCATATACCTGTTGGTCATTTGTATGTTTGCTTTTGAGAAATGTCTATCCAAGAACTTTGCCCATTTTTTAATCAGGTTATTTGTTTAATTGCTCTTGAGTTGTTTGAGACCCTTATATATTTTGGATATTAACCCCTTATCAGATGTGTGGTTTGCAAATATTTTCTCCCATTCTGCAGGTCATCTCTTCACTCTGTTGATTGTTTCCTTTCTTTTAGTTTGATATAATCCCATTTATCTGTTTTTGCTCTTGTTGCCTGTGCTTTTGGGGTCATATCCAAAAAATCATTGCCCATAACTGAATACCCCAGCTGCTTTAGTTTGCATTGATCACTATAAAATTTAAACATGTTTAAATTTTTCTGGAATTCTTAGAATGTGATACTTCACATCATTGAGGTGCTTAATTCATCACATATGATTGACGGAGTCCTACAATGTCCTAGCTCTGTTAGCTAATTGCACACAGTATAAATGTTGGGTTCTGAAGGTGTGGACTGTGTAGGTGAAGGTACCTCTTCCTGATAAGGTGGGAGCACTTTGGAACCTGGAAGGGCAGGTGGGATTTGTGTTGGCAGATGGAGGTGCTTATCATGGAGGAGATGAATGCTATTCTTTAAACACACTCACCCAGAAAACACGGACAAACTTACTGCCATCAGGAAAGGGCAGTGTTTTAGATAAGGTTTCCTAGAAGCAGAGTCTGAGACAAAGAATCCTGCAAAAGCAATTTTTGAGGGTGTGTGCTTCAGGTAAAACCTGTTGGGGAGGGAGGAAGGCAGAGTAAGGAAGGGAAGCAGCAAGGGTGCTGTCTGAGGTCAAGTCTAGCCTTGGCCTGTCACACAGGGCGAAGGATCCTGGTGTAACCACACAGCCACAGGCTCTGGTGGCCTTGCTCAGAATCAGCACCTCTGGCAGCTGAGGACTATTCCCTGGAGAAGGGGTGGCTGAGGTGGTCCTGGCTGGCAAAGAGACTTGGTGAGCTCCACAGCCCCTACCACAAGGAATGTGCAGCTCAGACTCCCTGGAGCCGAGGATTGGAGATCAAGTTGGACTGGTCAGCTGAGACTGTAGTGGCAGGTGGGGAGTGCAGGCCTTAGCATCCCACAGGTAACAGGTGGGCAGCTGTTTTTGCATTGATATCTATTACTTTGCTAGGCTGCCATAACAAAGTGCCACAGACTGGGTGGTAGAAAGTTAAAATCTGCAGGGTTCTTTCATTCTGAGGCCTCCCTCTTTGGGAGCATCTATTCTCCCAAGGGAGCATCTATTCTGTGGAAATGTTTCAACTTACTTTGGCTTTTAAGATTTTGAGGGTCTGGATCCTGGCCCCATGGGTTCAGACATGGTCCAAGACTGACATATTGAGATGTTGGTCAGTTACATATTGAGTAGCATTGACAGATGATACGTTAGTGGCCAAGACCCAGGATATGGGGATTGTGCAATGGGAGACTGAAGACTAAGTCCCAGTCTCTCTGTGGCGTGACATCTCTCCTGAAAGTGAGCTGTCACTTTGTGCATCTCCTGGGGGCCACTTCTGGCTCCTTCCACACTAGCTATTCAGTCCTTCCAATCCTTACAATCCAGTTCACAGTCTTATTTCGGGGAGATCTTCCATCACAACCCAGGCTACACAGGGTTTAAAAGGTGGCTTTTTATGTCTGCCCAGGGCCTGGCACAATTCTCGCTGGCCCTCACTGTAAAATTTGCAGGCCTTGAGTATAAGATTTCCTTGCTGACACTTTACCAGACAGAAAAAGTTTTGTCATTGTTAGACTGTAGAAAGGATAAGGCTGAAGGTCTTACACGAGATTTTAAAAAATAGGTCCTTTGAGACAAATAACATACTTAAAATTAAGCTGTGTGGAATTTACATTTTTAAATTAACTCGTATGTATAATTATATATATATATATAAAA